CGTCTCCCAACTGCACCCAGTTTGGGCTCCGGCGGGAACCCCTGATCCAACAAGGGCTACTAACCAACCAACGACCGTCGTAGACGGACCCTCGTTTCGAATGATCGATTTATCCTGTTGACTGGCAACCCGTCAAACCATTTTAACCTGTAATAATACCCTTAATTATGTCATATTGTACTAAGGAGTACTCTGTTTCGCAGGCGTGTCTCAGAAACTGATATTAATTAGGAAGCTAGACCCTGGCGAATAACTAACTAGAAAAGCAGAGCCCGAAATCTTCTAACAAAGGCTAACATTCTCATATGTGGCCAACTTCTTACCGTTTTTTTTAGTTGTATAGCAAGCTGACGATTCGAACCTGAACTACTTTCTTAATAGGTCTGCCGGAACTCATTAAGATAAAATTCGGAGGCTTTAATTCCATATGGTATTCATACAGGAATGACTTGACGGTAACCACTTTTCCATATTCAATAGTCAGAGGTGCAGTGCCTCACAAACAAAAAGAAACGCATTTGTTTTGCCCCTAAACGTTGTCTAAAACAACAATCCACACAAGTGGGAATACGCTCAGGTGTAAGCAGAATTCTGTCTAAACTGTAAACTGGGATATTTATTGTCGTCAGACAGCTTTCCGGTCAGCAACATAACCTAAACATAAACACAAAAATTATGTTTTCAGTCATCTCTGATGAGTAAAAAAGGTGGCTCAGGCGGTTGGTCGGCCACCAATCATATACAGATTTGAAGGTAGACCAAAAACGCGACGTATGGTAAAGAGCAATAAAAAAGAATGTACACGCGAGGAAAAGCCATAAGAACAGTTAGAGTAGGGCAGATTAATTTGGAAAATAAAACACAGCCAAGGAGAAAATTGAGAATAGAAAGCATTCAAGGCATAACTTCCGTCTTCGCCGCTTTTTCGGCTAAGGTAGGGGCAGATTTTTTCAGCTTTTCTTTCTCACCATTCACATACGCCTCGCCGACTCGGTCAATTATCTCGTCATCAGGCACTTCATCAACAAGATACTCAATTGACTTGGTAGGACGGGGAGTGGGATCCACATGCACCATGACCTCAGATGCGCCCGCAAGTCGCTGATCTTGGGTAGTTCGGTAAATGGACTTGGAGTATTGTTCGGCTTGTTCGAGGGTAATTGTAAGCTTAGCGAGACTCGCTTTGTATCGCAAGATTTCATCTAGTATACGACAACGCTGTCGAAGAATATTTAATTCAGTATCACGACGTCGGATGTCTGATTCCAGACACCGAATAGTAGACCCATATTCTTTAACTTTGGCATGGAGTGCGGCTGTTTCTTGATCTCGCAGTTCGTGCAGTTCCTAATAATAATAGTAATAATAATGCCAATTACATGAAGGGCAGGAAATATAAATGATGATAGTTAACGGGAATTTAGCAAAAAATGGGCAAGAACGCCAATTCATTTCTAGCAAATACCATGAGATTTTACAGAAAAATATCTTGCTGTATTCCGCGGCTCTTCCATCACTGGTTTTTGTAATAAACATTTTTTATGTAAAAAAAACGATTACCCAAATTGTTAGAGGTCTTGTTGCGAAAAGAGTGGTTCTTAGTATTCATCGCTAGTCATTTTAACAAAACAGTTTTATGGCAGCTCATAAGAAGGAACGAGGGGAACCGGGAGTTGAAGAGAGTTGTTTGAATTAAGTAAAGTTCCCTGGACGTGTGTCTGTGAAGATACCCAGTTCTCTGCCTTTCTTACTGCCTATGCCTCTCCCACAACGCGCAACGGAGTCAGTTCCCAAACAAGACCAATTGTTCATTTTGTTATAACTTTTTCAGACATGAATTATTCATGTTTATGTTAAGTATTAGCGCACTTTTTATTCAGGTTCTACCTAGCTTATCTGGATGAACGCGGTTTAAGTTCTAGTGATTCTTTTCAACCTACTCGGCGTCGGGCGTCATCTCTGCTAAATCACATTGTGTGTGCCTTTCTCAAAACCTTCGGGGCCACAGGACTTATCTCATTTAGGATAGGAGCATTTTATTTTACTTTGCAGTTTTGTTTTTAACTTTCATGTAAAATGATTTACATAGGTACTTATGCTGTGAAAGCTTTTTTAAACTACGTGAGACACAAAGCCTATTTCGATGGTAGGAACATGGATATAAGAAAACTACATGATAAATTGATAAGGCATAATGAAAAATGATGATATAAACAGTAAATATATCCGGTGAACATTCAATAATCATTTGAACGGACTAATCGTCTGCAGACGGTACGAGAGTCGACCCTTGTGGATCACCTACAGTTCACAATTTTAAAGATGGATAGCAAACAAGGAGTCCTAGTTATACCAAGTTTGGTTATTATGTTCGGCACAAAACTGTTACTCTCACACAAAAATGGACGACGAACCTTCACGGATTCCGAATAAAGCACATCCTTTCTATCCATTTCCGCCTTCTGCTCCTCAAGAGCCGCCTCCAGCTCTTCTACCCTTTTAGCTAAGGCATTCAAATGTTTATTAGCTTCTTCGATATTTGTTTTGTAGGCGGAATCACCACTTCCACCGCCCAAAAGCCACATAATCGAACGTTAGTGCTATGCAACGTTAGTAGTTTGTCTAAGGCGGTAATAATCCTGATAATACAAACAAACACTACATATCCTGCTGTGTAGTATGCGAAAGTTGTGATCGTATTATAGGAATAATCTGGAAAATCGAATAAGCTTTCAAGTTAGGAGTATTTTACCTAACTTTGTGAAAGCACAAGGTTAATCCACTGCTTCGTTTTGAGCTCAACTTTTTACAAAAATTCGTAGATTTTATTTTAAAAAGTGTATTCTCCGAAAGGGAAACTCACCAGCAGACCTGAACGACTTTGCTAATTAACCATAAAACTATATCCAAGGTTATTCTAGCCACTGTGTCTAAGCCCAGAACATCTTTTTTTAATTCTTCTGCCTATCGCAGCCCCTGAATTAGGTTTTACAGTCCCGAAACCTAACTATCTCTATGACAATTTTACCGCATGTGGACTATCATCTAGGAAGTGGCCGTACAGTTTGGGCTTGGAGTATAAGGTAGTGTAGTAATTCAGTATATATAAAGGGGATAGTGAAGGCGTTGGCAGACGAGGTCAAACTATGGAGAGCCATCAGGTCTGACACCGACAACTGACAAGGTTTGGCCTGGCCAAGTGGCTTTTTCAACTTTTCAAATTTCTAACAGAGGGCTCTGCAACGACCATCAAGTCAGCTGAAAAATTCATACAAAAGCTTCAGGGTATTCGACTAACACATGACGAAGGGATGGTATCCTTCTTTGTGACCTCACTTTTCACCCCGATGCCGCAACATCTTGCAGTGGAAACAGTTCAAACCCTGTTAGAAGAACAGTAAAACGAGGCGGATATGAAGCGCAAAATAAGCCCTGTTATTGGACTCCTGAAACGCTGCTTAAGCACTGTTTACACCTTCAATGGAACCGTGTACGAACA